TCGTCATAAATACTACATTAATACAAAATATATTATATGTACCTTAGTAATGTGAAAGAGGTATAAAATTATTTAACAACAGTTAACATATATTAACTGATACCTCACGAAGTCCCATTTTATTTAATGACACTTTAACATTTCCAAGGTCTCTATATGGAGTGTTGGTTGGATATCGAATGTGTCGCCATCTAAGTGCAAGTGAAAATATTATTGGTTCATCAGGTATTAGAGCAAATCACGGGAGCCAGTGTCATGCCCATACCTGTAGCAGTATTAGGCATCCACAAATTTCTTTAGCATCTTGTCATGAACCACGATCTAGACCTCTATAAAAAAAGGTAAGGCATGCTGAAGCCCAACTATGTATTCCAATTTCATCAACATTCACCAACAATTGTAAGAATTTTCCATGGACTACTGAATTACTTTTATTCGGCATTATAACATGTCCCAACAAAGAAAGTATGTATCCACGAGCATGTTGTGCTATCCTATGGTCAGAATTAGTAGGAAGCCAACCAAAATATTGCGTGATCCACTTCAATCTTATTTCTAAACCTTCAACATAGTGAAATCCAAGCCGACTACCTAGTAACTGTTCACACATATCCTGCAATGCTATAGTATTTGGATTAGTAGAACCACTAACAGGTAGACCATTGATTCGTAGTCCAAGCAACATAGCAACATCTTCTAATGTTACTGTGCATTCTCCACAAGGAAGATGAAATGTATGTGTTTTTGATCTTCAACGTTCAACAAGTGCATTTACAAGTCCACCATTTATATGCATTTGACATATTTGTGCAACACGATAAAATTTAACATTCTGTAAAATGTCATATATCTCAGGTCTAAGTAGTGATATAGCTAAGTAACGAGGTCGTAATAGTCTCATTACCTAACATAAAAAAATAAATCATTAAATACATTATTTAAATTATCATATTTTAAAATATTATTTAATCATATTAGATATTTAATCACTAAATACTAATATTTAATAATTAGCCATAATTAGAAAATTATATTTTTAATAACATAAATCATAAAAATTACTTACATTTTGAGCTCGTACTAATTATGAGATGTGTTTCTGCGAATCCATAGTTGTATCACGAACCATATTAAAGAAATTTGTTAATTTACAATATTTTTCAAAAAATTTGAACTACGTATTTTTTTTGAATTTTTCTATTTTTTTACTCTTTTTTTTCTTTTATTTTCACTATTCTTCTTCTTCTTTATCTTCAGTTCCCTCTTCTCTCTTCCACCTTAGTTTCTCTCTTTTACGTTCTCTTTGTGCATGAATTTATGACTGAAAGGGTTATTATATAGTTCCAAGAGCGAGTTTCTCACTTTGAAAAAATTCATTCACTCTAGTGTAGCTGACAGTGGCAGAAATTTTTTCACTCTGCAAAATTTCTGTTCAGCATTCACGCTTTACTTTTCTGACAAATGGCCAGACTTAATATGCAAATATGTCAAAACTCGCCACAGGCGATTTTTCATTAAAGCCACATTCTCGATGCAAATATGTCAAAACTCGCTATTGGGCAGTTTTTCATTAAGGCCACATTCTCGTCAAAGTTTTAAATCTACTGTTCATGACATATAACTTATTTAAATATTGTTGATTCTCCAAAAATCACCACTTGTGAGTTTTAAAAACCCATACTTCCGTAAAATTGTCACAAATAACATATTAACGCAATTATGACTTTTATATCCCACATTTAAATTAATAAACCATGTTTTTAAAGTTTAGATAATTGATATATTTATACTACTATACATAATTTGTATATCATACTATAAAAAGCTATTTCCAAAAGAGAAAAGAACAAACTAGTTATGTACTTCACTTTGTTCCAAAGTATTCCTAACAAGTAAGAGTTATTCCATTTCTTATAGCAATATTTTTTAATTTAAAATATCTTTTAATCGATGAAACTAGTTTTTAACGCATATTTAAGAATAATTAATTAGCTTTTTTATATAAAAAAAATATAATACATGGTATTATTAATATATTAAATGATATATTTTGTAATAAAAATTAAGCTTTATTATTTCGTGTAAAATACTTTTGTATAAATTTTGACAAAATCACACATTATTTTATGATTAGTTTAATGTTAAATTAAAAATAATACAAAATAGTGGTTAAACAAAAAATTAAAATTAACTTTGATTATACTCTTACTGTCAATTTTCATTTCATACCATTTTTTATTTTTGTAAAAATTTATATAAATAAGTTTTGTTTTTTGTGTATCTTTATGTTTGTATTAAAAAAATTATTAGTTAAATTTATTATTAATTTATACTTAATTAAATGATCTTATTAACTAATATAAATGAACTATATAATGAATAATGTTTTTATTAAAATTTACATAAAAAAATGTTAAATATCAAGGCAAAAATGTATTTATAACATATTTAATATTTTTTTTAGCTACTTAATAAATATTTCAAGACACTTGTTGGCATTATACTTAAATTTTTATCAAAGATGTTCAGATTGAGAATACAATCAATTCATGATCAATAATTCAATTTAATCATTTAGTTTGACTTTTGTAAAAATAATTAAATTTCCTAAAGTAGTTTATTTTTTCTCTTGCTGAAAAAGATTTTTTTAACTAAGGATAATTGATTTAAACGGTATATGTCTTAAATAAGATGTTAGGTTTAAATTCGTCTAAAAATAAATCTTGCTAAAAGAGCTAGTTTAGTTATAATACAAATATATTTAATTTAAATAATATTATTTTTTACAAAAGATATTTATCATCTAAAAAAAATATCAAAATAGACAAATTTATCAACATGAGTATAATATCTTTGAATAAAATGTTTTTCACATGCTGATATAAATTGAATCTTTATAAACATGTTTATCAAATATATTTAATTTACTATCTATATTGTTTTATTGATGTATCCTTTTTAAAATTACCTATCTCTTATATATCTGTATTTATTTATTTTTATTTCTTTCTTCAACTAAATATATTAATGTTGCTTTAACTCGAGTAATATTCAAATGTATAATTGAAAATACCAAAGTCTTATTGCCTCCAAGTAACATGGATAGTAGCTCTTCTATAAAATGCATATATGCAAAAGCTCTTCGATAACAATGCAAAAACATTCGTATCTTTGTAGATTATTTCTAAAACTATGAAATCGATTTTTCCAGTAATTAAGAAATTTATTATGGGGCTTTGAATTTTACTGAGTGAATAAAGTGATATAACGTATTCTCTTAATCTTAATAAAGTCTTGTTAATTTATATAGTGCATGCTTAGTTCAGTATGTTTTAAGGAAATGTTTTTTTTTATTAAATTTTAGAACAATAATTAAAAATGAATAATTATTTCATAAAAAATAATTTCAACAAAACATGTTTTTGACCGGTGATTCTGGACAAGTTTGGAAGGTTCAAGCACTATATAGTAATTTTAGCAAAATAAAATACAAAATATTTCTATTAACAGTTAATCTTTAAGATTGAGTTTAAGTATTTAAAAATAATTAAATTTTATTAAAAAATATTATTTACATAAAAAATATAAAAATTTATTTTTAATATAATATTATATTACATTTAATTATTTAAAATTATTTTTAAAAGATGATGTTAATGTCTTTTCATGTGTTGATTCCTCTCTCGCCCTTTTGACGCATTAAAACTAAAGAAAAGAAATCATCGAGTCATAACTTAAGAATTAAATTCATCTAACTTTAATTACTGTTTTTTAAGTACTTTTTTCTTTGGTTTTTAAAATGTTTTGCAGTTGAAAATAGAGTTTAAATATTTTTTATAAAATCTGAGCAACCTTTTTTAAGTCTAATTTTTTAATATGATATGAAAATTTATTCAATCTTAATATTGAACTTGTCCACATATATCTTGTCTTATTGTACTATCTACAAATGTTCAATATTACAAATTTTATGTATTAAATATCCATTCCTAGACATGAATAGAGTGTGCTAAAATATTTCATGTCAGCTATAAATAGATTTGGAATTTTATAAGATTGAGCAAACTTTTTCCTGTAAACTAATTTTTAAAAGTAAAATCTGCACGACCAGATCCTATATAACAGTTGCCTTGTGTCTTGCAATCTGGTTTAATAGTTCTGCGTAGAGCTTTAATATGATCTCAATACAAAGCAACCTAACCAAACTACAAAAATTTGCTCTTTTTTCTTAATAAAAGGGAGAAAAGAAAGAGTTAAAGTAACCTCTTAAAACTAATTTTAAACATACAGAAATAATGATATTTTATTAAGAAACATATTTATGATAATTTAATGTAATAAATACTTTTTAAATATCATTTTACCATTTTTAAAATTTTAAAGCCAACCTCAAATATTGATATAATAAAATCAATAATAAAATAATAATCTAAATAAGTTTGTTTTAATACTAAATAATAATTTAAACGTACTAATTAAATAATAAAAAGAAAAAAAGATAACATTAATACATTTTTACTGTAATTTTTTTCAAAATTGTGTTAATTTCTTAAATAATGCTTTTAACACGAAAGCAAATCTAAAAGAATTATTTAGTGAAGGCTAAAATCAAAATTTATGGTATCAACATGCATTTTAACAGTACCAAATGTATTTGGTAAATTTTTATTATTTCTAAAATTAATGGTCCGATCATAGTCGATTTTAAAATAAGTAAACATTTTAATTGTTTCCAACGTCAATAATTAATTTTAAATATGAAATTACATGATAATAAATATATATCGTCGCATTACACATTTAATAAATTAGACATGATCAAACATGTAGAGAGGAAAGTAAATATTTTCCTAAAATAAATAATTTTTTAAATTTTACTCGTATCACATAAACTACCCTCATCAACATTCACATCCCAAAGCCATGATTAAATTCGTTATTTCATCCTTTTCACAAAGAAGCAATAAATCATATAGCAGCAGAAAATGCGAAGGAAATGAGATCAAGACAGCAAAGTGACTTATTAGTCCAAGCTACAAAAGGCAGATGTATCAAATATTCAATCCACAAACAGCAGGCATGAAAATTGTCGAAAGGAACGAGAATTCTTGGTACCCAGAAAATGGATTCGATGAAACGCAATATGGTGAATAACAATAAAACCAATGCCAACAACTAAGGAAGACCGATTGAGAGCAGTAGTACACAATGTTTTCCTCAAATTTTCAGAACACCCCTGTTGCATCAATCACGGTAATGCTATGGCCGTTAGCTCCTCCAAAATTACACGGTAAAAAAATAATAATTTCTGCCCCAATGCTACTGAAGCATAAATTTCCTATACACGAGGGTAAGAACTCAACCAATAGGCAGAGTAGAGAGATGACCTGCTGTAGGACCTTTTATTCTTCATTTATTTTGATCAGTCTGCTACCATATGGTACTAAGATATTCAAAGGACAAAGTTCTTAATTATGGTAAATTAGCTCTCACTTCTTTCCTATCAACACCAAAAGCCTGCAATACAGAATCATAAGAGTTAAGCATACCATCTATTACGTAATGCTACACAAATAACAGGAAGTTTAGTCACAGACCTCCCACCATTGTGGGGTCTAAAGAGGGATAGATGGTATGGTATGCAATGCTATCAATTATTAATTGCTTGAATACAAATCCAGCTGCAACATTTCATGCAATCTAAAAATTCAATGACGAATTGATTATCCTGTTATTTGCCACAATTTGATATTGAATCAAACTAGTCAAGCATATCCATTCTCCTATAAATTTTGAAGGCTGTAAAGACATAGTGACATATATTCTTCAATTTTAAAGCAAAATGCTGCGAAATCTACTATACATCATTTGAATAGCTTATGCTCTGAACTTATATAGTGAGTACTGAGTAGGGATGAAATCAATACCTCAACTCCTAAACCTTTAACGTAGACATTGGTAAATAGATCAAATGGATCTGGCATTGGACTCTCCTGGAAAACAGAAAAGAAGACCAAGAAGGGGAATATTTAAAACAATATACAGTTGTCACAGGATATGCAAATATAAGGTATACAGTGAAAAAGTGAGCCAAATGAATTAACAAAAAAGATTTCACCTTTGCTTTAGCAATGGCCTCATCAACTTCTTTTCTGGCTTCTTTTTCCATGTCCTAAAAGAAGAAAATGGAATTAATATCCTTAATTGTCATCACAACAAATTCAATAGAAAATAGTTATAGGTAGAATAAAACTCAATAGAAAACAATCATGAACTATCATCTGAGATTGACAAAATAGGCCATTTCATCTTTGCAAATTGCAGAAATTATTATAGGTAGAATAAAACCCAAGAGAAAGTTAACTACCGTTAACAAAAGACTAGCAGACCATATGCTATCCTATCTGAGCTTTAATTCCATGACAATCACTTAACTATAGTCAACATGTTTGGAAGCAAAATATCTATATAAGCTGAATCATAAAAACCTTCAAGTAAAATCAGATGCCCAACATCATAATAGAGAAACAAGTTTCTATTTATGGACTGCTTTCAGGGAAAAGTTTGGAGTGAATTTCACAGATATCAAGATGGAAGACTGATGTCATGCATAACCAATTCTAAAAAGCACATTTCACAATTCAAGGGATGAAGAAGGAATTTCAATTTCAGTCACCTTTAGCTCCTTTTCAGCAGCAATCTCATGAGACAATAACAGCTTTCTTACTCTCTCAATTGGATCACGCTCCTACATCATATTAGCCAAGGAAAACAATTAAAATGAATCTCTTAAAATATTAAACTAAAAACACATATGCTGGGGACTAGCATGACAAACCTGTCTCACACCAGAAATTTCATCACGGGTGCGGTAAGTGCTGCCAGGATCAGACATAGAGTGGCCATGGTATCTGTAAGTGTCCATTTCAAGAATCTGGGCAGAATAGTAAATAAGATAGAGAAATCAATCAATATCTAACAGCAATATATTCCTCAGAAGTAACATTCAACTACATTCCAGTAAAATAATTCCTTCCCAAGAAGGTTCAAACTTCAAACTGTAATCAATTAGTCAGCAGAGACAAAATTTATTGCTCCTCAATAGCTTCTTACTCAAATCATCATTTGTCAAAGGACAAAAACTTTTTGAAATCAATCTATTTCTTTAGAATTATGGGGATCCAGAAAAGCAATTTCTAAGCAAATCATCAAATGTTGATTCCATAAATTTAAAAAATAAATTATCCAGCTACAAACTAAGCATAAAATAAAACCAAACACCTTCAATGTCAACTCCTATGAATCTGGCAAGTAATTTCAGTTATCTACTTGTTAATATCAGAATTATTTTGACCAAGTGTCCAAATACATTTTATATTCAAGCAGAGTACAATTGAAAAGCAAGATTTTTGAAGATAAAAGAAGAATCAATATCACAGAAGTTATCAGCAGTGGCTATTGGAAGTCATCAAGAGTGGTTAGCAGAAGTTATTAGAAACTGTTACTGAGAGTTATCAGTTAGGAACCTTGCCTACAAAGTCCCATTAGTGCAATTAAATAAGGGTTGGAACTTGGTTGTTGAAACTAGTGAAATGCCTACAAATCCCACACACATCAGAGGGCCTCAATGGGTCACTCACTACTCATAGCAAGTTTCAACCACTTCAATTCCTTTCATCTCAATGACAATCAAGTCTTTCTATCTTTTCACTTTTGGCCAGCTCACTTCTTTCTCTTTTTCTGTACTTTCTTTCTCTTCTCCGTAACAGCTTGATCTCTTCTTTACATAGTTACTTTTAATTATGTTCAAATAGTTATATTTTATCTCTCTTCATCAATTGATCAGATTTTTGTCTTCAATTTTTATGTTTGTGATCTGAGTTATCCATTTACTGAGTAAACCATAAAGGAAGTGATTTCCTTCCCTAAACTGAGATCCAGAATCAAATTTCAACAAAAGTGGCAACATTTTGACTTTGATCAGATTTTCATCTTCAATTTTTATTTTTGTGATCTGAGCAAAGTTATCAATGGCAGATGATGGGTCATGGCAGAAATCCAAAAAACTGCATAAAATTATGATAAGATTATGACACACATAATAAAATATATAAAAAACATTATAGGTCATACAAAATGATAAAAATAAATTAACTCAAAATATAAGTAGCATAACCCACAATTCAAAGCATAATTCAATACAAAATCAACAATTTTAGATTTTTTGCTCTGATGTCTTCTATGTTTTTATTCATCTTTTGCTATACTGTGGGTGGGTTCTATCCCCACACAGCGCAACAGTGCTAGTAAAAATGTTTACTTTCCCTTTCCATCCCTAGAATGAAGCAGTTTGAAGGGTAAAAAAGACTTTCTTTTTTTTAAAAAAAAAATTCCCTTTTTGCCCTTAAAATGACCTTGCTTTAAGGTTTTTAAGGGTAAATTAGTCTTATTAGAATACATCACTGACCCATTTTCTTCTCCACTTCTTTGTTTGACGCTCCCTCCTCAAATATCAATCAATATCCATCTCTGTTTCTGTTGTCTTCTCAAATATCCACTTTCCCTTCTCAAATAGTCTTTGTTTGACACATCTCTGTCCTTGATTTGAGTTTGAGGGTGACTCACTTCCCCCATTTGTCTCTGTTTTGCTTCCCTCATCAGTCGCTGGAGATGGAGCAGTTGTTGTTGGAGTTGCAGCAGAAACACTCGACAGAAAAACAAGAGTTGAAGAAAACCCAAAACCCCAACGAGAACAAAGAATAGAAGATGAAAGGTTACAAAAAAAGAACCATGAATGAAGAAGACAGATAAAAAAAGAGAGATGAAGTGAGAGACAAAAAAGAGAGGCAACTAATATTAGGGTTTGGGCTCACGGATTCTTTCTCTGGACTGGATTAGGTTTGCAGCCCAACCCATTTTTCTGCAAAAAATGTCATTTTTCCGCCACGGCCGCTATTACTGCCATGCACGTAACAGCCACTAGTAACAGTGGCCATGGTGCTGCCACCAAAAAATGCCATGCCTATTATGGAAAGCTTGAAAACTGTCATTGATTTCCGTTATGGTGCCGCCATAATGGTTACTTGACAATAGTGGATCTAGGTTACCAAATTTACTAAGTAGACCATAAAGGAAGTGATTTCCTTCCCTAAATTGAGATCCAGAATCAAGTTTCAACAAAGATGGCAAATTTTTCATGTAAACACTAGTAAACTATAACAATCCCCGCCAAGACCAGATTGAATGAATTAAAGTTATCCCATCTTTAACTCCAAGGGAATAGGAAACAAACCTTAGGCAAGAAAGCCAGAACAATCTAATCTCGTGCAACATTTGAGGGGCAGAAAGCCCAAACAATCTCATCTTATATGCACTTAGTATGCCTTAATTCAAAGATCTATACTTTCAACTGAGTCTAATGGCTAATACCATGTTCAAGGTTGCTTTGACAATGTATAAGGAGTTCTGTCAATTATTAGCAGATTAATGAACAAGTATAGCCCCCTGTCCCTAAGATTAAAACTAGTCTGACAGCCAAGAAATTGCCACAGTTGATCCCTCCTAATCTAAAGTGTTATGTCAAGCCTTAGGTAGATGAATGGCTGATTCGCAACATTGCCAATAATTAATTTTGTGAGGAGAAATTCAAGTATACATAATAGTAAATAAATTAACTCACAAGGGGCCCATTCTTCAAAGCATGTTCCTTTGCAAATTTGCAAGCTTGTTTAACAGCAAGAACATCCATGCCATCTACCTGTACAAATTACAAATACTCATTAAAATTAAAATAATCCAAACAAGATTGTTTAAAAAGACTACTGTGTATACTTAATTAACCCATGTACAGACAGTTTTATATGCAAGTGCATAATGACACTTAAATGGTAGGAAGCAAATACATAAACACGTGTCCAAGTCCAACAAATAGTCAACATAGTCCTACATATTTGGACATCAAGACATGAAAACAGGAATGGAGCCCATGGAGGCTAAAACAGGAGAGTCCACAACAGCATCAATATTCAATGCAAGAACAAGAAAAATGTCCATCCCTCAAAAGTTAAAACTCATCCAGACTGTTACAAGAGATGTGGAAAGAGTGCAAGACTTAAGGATCCAAATTTAAAAACAAAAACAACATAAAGAAGCATTGGCCTAAAATATAATTGAAATAAATAAGTGGTCCTTAATTTGGCAATGCTGTCCCAAAACAACATTTGTTCCATAACAGCACTACTAATAAACCATAAATACTATGCCTCACAAAATAAAATTCATTATCAATCAACATATAATACTCAATTATTAGGGTTCATTTGGTAGATAGGATAATTTTTTCTATCATATCCCATTTTCTGTTTTGTCTAACCAATAGAATATGATAAATCTATTTTATGTGTTTATCATATCCATCTCTCTAGTGTAATTTTTATCTTTGAAAGGGCTTGGATTAGAAATAGGCTGGATAAAATAAGATAATGCTATCTAGTTTGTCCTCTTGGTATGCATGAAACATAAGATAGGTTGAGAGTGTATCATACTCTCTTGTTCTATCACGTTCTTATCCAACTTCGATATCTTATTCTTTCTTATCATATCCTACCCACCAAATGAGCCCATAATTTGAGCACGTGAATGCATCATGTCCATTCATACACAAGTCCTCAAGAAGGATGTATTGCCATATCCGCCACCTAATCACGCCCCCTTGCATACCAGAATGAAAACACTCCACATCCATCCATCCTTCCCCTTTAACCAAGATGTTACACAATACATTCTCATCAGAGAAGAAAGGAATTGAACTGCATTTCTCAAACAACCCAAGCAATGCTAGCAACACACTCATTATTGGATGAATTTACACGACTCCCACCAAAAAACATGTCCAAACTCTCTTCTCAGCAAGACACACATGAATTCACCGAGTAACACATTGTGTTAGAAAAGGTTCATCAAATGAAGGGTGTATTATCATTTGTCAGCACTCAGCATTATTCCAACCAACAAAATCAATCATTCCACAAACACAGCAGCACAAAACACCATCCACGAAGCTCACCTTCAATCCGGGAACATAATCCCCACGCTTGTAATAAGCAGGACTCTTGGCAGCTCTCCACTCAGCAGTTCCCATTCCATCTGTTAGCCAATTCAAAATATCAAACCAACCGAATTGAAAAAAGCACCAAAATTTAACCAACGCAAGCACTCACAATGATTGTTCTCGCAGACCAAAATAGCAGGGAGATCCCAAAGTGCAGCAATATTAAGAGCCTCAAAAAGCTGCCCCTGATTGGCAGCACCATCACCATACAAAGCAAAAGTCACATTCTCATCCTTAGAATACTTCTGAGCAAAAGCCAACCCACAACCAAGCGGAACCTGAGCCCCCACAATACCGTGACCACCGTAGAACCCACTCTCCTTCTTGTAAAAATGCATCGAACCACCTTTTCCCTTGGAGCACCCCTCCTTGCGCCCCATCAGTTCCGCGAACACTTCAAGTAGGGTTCCGCCACGGCCCAAGAAGGTGCAGTGGTCCCGATAGGCGGTGATGATGCAGTCCTTTTTAGTGATTCCGGCCTCCATGCCGATGGCGACTGCTTCTTGGCCGTCGTAAAGGTGGCAGAACCCGCGGATTAGCTTTGCCTTGTAGAGAGAATCGGCGGCGATCTCCATCCGCCGCATCAGAGCCATGTCGCGGAAGAACGAGAGGAGCTCTGAGGCAGTGGTGTCGACGGAGCGTGAGGGAGGGTCGCAATTGTGGGCGGTGAAGGGAACGGACGTCTCGATGGTGAGGGTGGCGTTCGCGTCGGAGGAGATCGGACGGCTGTGAAGTAACGCGGCGGAGAAGGGTTTGAGGAGATTGGATCCGCAGGAAGAAGAAGAGGCTAAACGTGACAGAGCCATTTCGATCTGTTACTACAAAATATAAAAAATAAAAAGTTAATTTTTGAATTAAATGGAAAAATGAATGTCTTATGAGGGTAGTGTAATCGAGATGAAGATTGAACTTGAAGGGGTTGGTGAGGTACCAGCAGAGAGCTGAAACTATGAATATATGAGTTTATTGAGAATGGAAGTGTGCTACCAATATTTGAGGGCGAATTTTGGTTTTCTATTATTTTTATGTGCTGTGTGGTAGTCCCTACCAATTTATTCGCGAGCCTTTATTGCTCTTTTCACGCTCATCTTTTGTGTGTTGCCCCTGGATTCGCTGCTCCACAGCTCACCGATGTCAGTCTGGAGTTTTGGGAAATTACTTTTTAAAATTTGTTTTAAATACATTTTCAATTATCGATTAATTTTTTATAATTATGAAAAAAAAACAATTAAATTATCATTTATCAAATTAAAAATAAAATTTATTATAAATTACATAAATTTGTTTTAAATTTAATAAATTTGTTAATAATTAAAAGTATGCTAAAAATATATATTAAAACATATCACTAGCATTTATAAAAAATATTTAAAATAGTTTTAAGATTACATTTTAAACTAGAAAATATGCCCGGTTTTTTTCTATTAAATTAATTTATTTTAAAATATAAAATATATAGTTTAAATATAAAAAATATATAAATATAATAAAAAAATTATTTATCAAAATAAATTATTATTTAAAATATGTATAATTTAGTATTTTTTAGTATAAAATAAAATAACATACATATATCTTATTTTCAAAATGTAAAAAAAAAATTATATTATTTCATGATATCATAAATCATTTATTATTATAAAATTTTAAATAAATAATTATAACAATAAATTATTAAATATAATAAATTTGTATATGTTATAAAATTTAAATAAAAGGTCTTATAATTTTTTATTTATATATTTGTTTATAGTTGTTGAATTAAATTTATAAGATAAACTATCTATTTATAATTATAATTTAAAATTATTAATAAAATTTTACTATATAATTATTAAAACATGATATCATATTTTTTAAAAATAATCTATCAGACTAATATAAAAAAAAAGTATTTATTCATGTATGAAATTTTAAAAATCGTCTTGAAATATCAATATACACAAAATTATATATTAATATTTAAAAATAAAATATATTAAACTTTTTATATATAAATAAAATTATCATACAAAAATATTGTAAATAAAAATTAATAATCATATAATATATATACTGAATTTGGAAATTTACTTTTTGATAAAAAAAAATATGGAATTGAATTTTTTTAAATGATTAAATGATTTTATATTTTTTGATAATTTAATAGAATTAATATTGATTGACATTATAAATAAATTAATTTTATCTAATAATCAATTAAGTATAATAAAATTATGTTATTTGAATTATAAAATTAAAATAATAAATTTATTAATTTTTCTTATATAATTATTTTTTAATTTTTAAAAATAATTAATATAGTTTATTTATTATTTATCATTTTAATTAAGAATTAATAAAAATAAATATATCTATAAACTAATTTAATAATGAAATGTTTAAAAATTTTATTAAAAGAACAAATATTAATTTAAATAAAATTTAAAAAATAACTTTAAAATGTTATATAAAAAGAAACACATAGATTGAACTAAAAATAAGTAAAAAAAGTATATAATTATTTTAAAGATATATAAATATAATTTTAATATAAATACATTAAAATATTATATCACCATTAAAAAAATAAATGTGTTCTAACAATTTTGATGCAAATATAATAAATTAGATATTTTTGTTTCTAGATTTTTTTTTTGTCAATCTCTCGTACATTATCTAATTCTATAAAAAGAGGTTAATATTTAGTGAATCTGATTTCATTTTTTAATTAAAAAATATATAATTTAAAAATATAACATAATAAATAATTATATTAATAAAAAAATATGTACTGATTTCATATTTTTATATATAATATCTGCATTTTAATTTATATCTTGAAAATTAATTGTAAATTTATAAAATGACTACATTTTTTCATTATGAAGCACTCTTCTTTGCGTTTGTAATTGAATGTTATCACTTATCATAAAATTTTTTAAAAACATTAGAATTTATATTTCAATCTAAAAATTTTAAATAATCATATAGTTAGAATATGAAATTCTAATAAATAAATATAATTTGATATGTTAATATAAAAAATTATTTTATAACATTTTAAACACTAACTTCTATTTTTCTTGGATTTAAAGTCTTTTAATAGTTGTAAAGATTTAGACTTCATACTCATAAAATTTTAAAATAAATGATATATATATATATATATATATATATATATAAATTAAATATAACAATTGAACTTAATTCTGAATTAAAACGTTATACTTTCTTTACTTATTCCTTCATTATGATATAAAATTATTAAATATGAAAATAGAATAGTTAAATCATATTCATTTTTATTGTTATGATATTTAGTAATATTTAATTTATTTTAATTATTATAATTAATTAGTTTTAATTGAAGAGTTTTAAATTTATCATCATCATTATAGCATTTTATAAAAAACATTGCAACAAAATCATTAAGTATAAATATTGTTAATTTTTTAATTTTAAAAAATTAAATTTTTCATCATAATTATTATAATATAAAATATAAATAAAATATTGTCTATGTTAGTAGGTTATACATAATTTTTATATATCAGTTTCTATTAAATTATTTTCTAAAAAAATTAAAATAATAGAAGAGAAAAAAAGTATTGTTAAAAATTTTCAATTAAGATTTAGGTATAAACTAAAAGATAATAATTTTTAATACAAAAATTAATCTTTATATCAATTAAATTTATAAATGTTAATATAATATAAAATTTATGAATCACATATAAGATTTATCTAAGAACAAAGTTAATACATAATATATATAATAATAAAATGAGAGAAATGTATATAATAAAATAACAAAATTATCTTATAAAAGACTTAAATGTTTAGTGACATTTTACTTTTCAGACTCTACACAATATTAAAAGTATTTATACAATACTGCAATAAAAATGGTTCAATCTTCTAAATTCTCCATTATTGTCTTTTGTTCACAATTTTTTGCTTTGTCTTCCTTAAGTTACAACCTAAAAAAAAATATCAAATATAAATTACTAATCTAATAAATTTGAACAATACATTATAAATTTATAATTTATACATTAATTTTCTCATTTTTTTGGTAAATTTGATGTTTCTATGGTTAAAGATATACGTGAATAACTTATTGCCAAATTATTTTCTTTTATTTTTGCATTTATATTGTCTATTTCTTCTTTCTTTTCAATCTGTAAATATAAACAATGAAAATAAAGTTATTTATCATTATATTATAAACATTATAAATGAAAGTAATAAAACTCTAATTTAATTTTCTATATTACCTTCACTATCGGCTTCACAATTTTATTTGCAGTGAAACTTTATTTTTCACGACTTTCAAAGTAAGTACTCATTTTTATTTGAATAATATGTGAAGTGTCAATAATCTTTAAAAGTTGTGGTGATAACTTTAACACTTCACCATTACCTTTAAAAAAATTATCACATAAAAATAATTATATGTTTTAATATATTTTATTTATAAGAAGTTAAAAATTAACACATTTACTTACAATTTCAAATGTTGCAATAAGATCTGTTAACTTTATTTGTGCTAATTGTTCAACAATTTCATCAAATAAGATAAATATAATTAAATCTGTAAAATCTTTAACATCAAGCTTATGACGAAACCTGTAATGTATATAAATTAAGGTAATAATATATAATTCAATTTATTTTAATATGAAATTTTAAAATTAGAATACATAGTGATAAATTAATTACCTTGTCATTAGATACTCTACGTCTTTATAACATTATTCACATTTAAAATTTGTAGTTGTGAAAGAAACTTTCTTCTTGCAATGAGAGTAAGAAATATAATACCAACCATTTTTAAGTATTACATCATTCACAGTTATAATATAACCAATTACGATATTTTAAAAATTTATTAAAAAATTAGTTTAAAACTTAAGTAAGAAGAATAAAGTATAAAAGAGATTAAATTTACTATATCACTCTTTGATTTTACCGTTGTCAATATTCCAGATATGTTTTTAAAATTTTCTAACTTAAGAAAAATAGTAGATCTTGTATTATCAACATTGTGAGCAATATGCATATAATTAAAATCCCTTCAACAAAGTGATAATGAATAATTGAAAATGTAGTTAAAATAAAAAGTAAAAAATTAGTAATAATTAATGTAATAGAAAGATTTTAAATAATTTTAATACTTGAATGAATTTATCAAATGAGTAATTTCTGGTATGTCAATATTGACATAATTCTTTATTGATCTTGATGTGAAAATATAAATATTACCTATAATACATACATTCATATTTTTTATAATTAAATATCACAGTCGTGATATTCACACTTTTATTTTCCATTCATCTATTGTTGAATTCAGATCATTAAGAAAAATCTATTTATTTTCATTGAAACTTGTCGTTCTCCTATAACATCATGGAAATATAAAAATAAATAATTACTTGTGATGAATATAAGAAAATAATAAGAGATTTAATACAAATTAATCAATTAAAAATAAGATTCAATATATTATATAATTTAAAAATAATACTTTATGCTTATTTAAAAAAATTAAAATATATAACACAATTTAGTGAAACAAAATAAAAAATATCAAACTTGAAAACACATATACTTATGTAGATAAGTAATTTTTGACTGCTGACATTGTTGCAAAATACAAAGAAAAAATATGACAATAGAAAGAACGGTGAACAAGTTTTTAAAAGTTATGTAAATATGACTTATAGAAGGAGAGAAGAAATCCTTCTTTAAGATATATGAAAAGTCAAAAAATAAAATATTAATGTAATAAAAGTTATTTTTTCTTTCAAAATTTACTCTAATAATATAATATATAATATAAAACAATAATTCACATTCAACGTATATTTTGATTTTTGAAATATATATAAAACTATATATTATATTAAAATAATTAATAATATTATTTAAATATGTAAACTTACCTTTTTATTAGAAATGTAATTTAACAATATATAGTATAAATTAATAATTTTATAAATATTTTAATTTTTGAGATATAGATTGAATTATATATTATATTAA